GGAGGACCTGAGTTCAAATCCGGCCTCAGACCAAACATCTGACACTAGCTGTGTGACCCTGGGCAAGTCACTTAACCCCAATTGCCTTAAAAAAAAAAAAAAGAAATGAGCAGGTGGACTTCAGAAAAATCTGGAAAGACATGTATGGACTGATGCTGAGTGAAGTGAGCAGAACCAGGAGAATGTTGTACACAGTAACAGCCACGTTGTGCAATAACTAACTTTCATAGATTTAGCCCTTCTCAGCAATGCAAGGAAATAAGACATCTCCAAGAGTCTCATGATGGAAAATGCTATCCACATCAAAGAAAGAACTATGGAATTTGAATGCAGATCAAAGCATAATATTTGCTATTTTTTTCTCCTGCTTTGTTTTGTTTCCTCTTTCTGGTGGTTCCTCCTATTGGTTATAATTCTTCCTTACAACACGACAAATGTGAAAATCTGTTCAATAGGAATGTGTGTGTATATAAATATATATATATATATATATACATATATATATGTGTGTGTGTATGTGTGTATATACATATGTGTGTATATACACACACACACACACACACACACACACACACACATATATATATATATATATATATATATATATATATGGAGAGAGAGAGAGAGAGAGAGAGAGAGAGAGAGAGAGAGAGAGAGAGAGAGAGAGAGAGAGAAGGACACTATATCAGACTGCCTGCCCTCTACGGGAGGGAGGTGGGAAAGGAAGGGGGAGAAAAATGTAAAATTCAAAAGCTTATAGAAGCGATTGTTGATAAATCAAAATAAATTGATAAAAAAGGAAATTCAGAATTCTGGTAATAGAAATGTGTTTTTTTTTCTGCAATGTAATTACTAAGACTTTAGAAAAAACACTGTATATTCCTTTTTATATTCCTTGTGAGGATTATACCTTTCTCAGGAGCTGGCTCTCTAGCTTCAGCCTCACCACTAAGAATAAATTGTAAGAGTACATTCTGAATCTGATAATGATTTGTGTTTCATAAGGAAATTATGTATTCACCAGGGTCATGGAGATATACTTTCACATGCCCCTAATGTATCAAAAAGCATGGTCCCTGAGGGATAAGGGGTGGGGTGGGGAGGAAGCAACGAAAAGGAAGAGATAAAGGGACAGATAGTATAAGGTGGTATCACTAGGGTAGCCAGTAGAGGAAAAGCATCTGGATCACAGAGTAGTCGTAGACAGAGGGTAAAAGAGTACAACTAAATTAAAGGATAACTATAATAATTTGATTATTTTAACATCCATGAATTAACATTTTAATAGCAATTTTTAGAGTACTTAATCAACTCAAATCAATTCCACCTTTCTCCTCTCTTTTGTTTTTGTTGTTTGGGGGGGATTTCAACATGTAGTAAACTCTCAGTATAGAAAACTTTTTAAATTTTATAATTAAAACCCTTTTCTACTGAGGAAAAAAAGAAAACAATATATAAAAACAGAAAATGTAAAAAGTATTAGAAAATGTTGTGTTCACTTTCCCTTACACCTTTAACCCAACCAAAGAATGTTATTTGATAGGTCATAAGATAAAGCAACTTCTTCACCAGAAAAAATAAAAGTGAGAATTATTAAAGAGTCACATCAATGGCCTCACAGGTAAAGGGCTAAAAGTTTTATATCTGATGGCCTTCAATTTTATTGATCCTTCTCCTACAAGTATCATGGAAAGCTCTGAAAATGGAAATTCTGTGCAATCTTTCTGACCTGCCTGACTAATGAAACACATTTGCATTTCTGAATACCAAAGTATAATCTTATAAAATATCATAGAACACATGAATCCCATGAAAGATTATGAAATTTTACTTTGCCATAAGAAAAGAGGCTAAATTTATTTGGCCTACTGCCCCCTTTTAAAAAAAATTACTCAGCATTCCCCACTCCCTTCCCCTCACCCTCTGGAAATCTACTTTCTAATGTTTTTTGAAATGTGTCACTTCAAAAAATATAAAATATTTTTTTAAATGACATACCTTAAATTAATAACTTATTATAAATTTGTGAGGGTTTTTCCTGCATTGAAATTTTGATGATTCAATATTGCATCATGTGAATGCATAGTATCTTATTGTAAACAAGTCATTACAGGCACATATTACTGCCAGTGCAAGCTGGACTTCTTGACAACGTGCAATAGACTTGCCTGCCAACTCTTGCTTGTTAAGACCTGTTGGCAGACTTGACCACTGATTGGTTATAACTTGCATTTTGTGTGTTTATTTGGAAAATAATGTAATCATTATGACTTTAATTTTGTTACACAACAGATGAAACATGTATAGTTTTTCAAAATAATTCTCTTTCCTTATGCTTCCACTGTCCCCTTATTTTTATTCAACACCCCCCCCCAAATTGAACCCAAGGCTACTGCTACCCTGATCATTCTAGCACCCCCTAGGGTGCAGTATCACCCATTTTGGGAACCTCTGGATGGTTACCTTAACCTTAGTGTCTTAAATCAAGCAGACTTCATTAACAATTGTAAAAGTATTTGGTGACTTCTTGTTTCCTACCATTTAGTAGGGAATGTTTTCTCATTCTGATAACAAATTCTTCCAGCTGAATGTCAAATATTTCCCCAGAAGGCCCTAGTTTTCTCTTGTTTGATTCTCTTTCTCTACTTGTTACTTGCATATCTTAAATTGCTACAGAATGTTGCTAATTGGCAAGGTACTGTAAGCATGCCTGAAAAAGCTTTTTGAAAGCTGTACTCTAGGAAGTTGAATCTGTTATTAGTGAGCAGTCTGCCTTAAATGCCAAAAAAATGTATATTTTCAGTTATGTTATTCAAATTATATGACCTCCTGTCAGCAGATCCAGTTAGTGGGTGATATTCTACGAGCTTTCCAGGAACAAAACTAAGAAGTACCCCAGTACCCTCAAGGAACACCACTGCAATAAAGAGCATGTACATATATATGTACATAAGAAATAAAAACATAAAGGTAGTACAGTAAAGTGGATAGAGCACTGGACTGCAAGTCAAGAACACACGAGTTTAAATACTGCCTCAGATACTTTCTAGTTAGGTGACAAATATTTAACTTCTCTGGCCTCAGCTCTTCATTCATAAAATGAGGGAGATTGGACAAGATGGACTTTTGAAGGCCCTTCTGTCTCTAAAGCTATATAATCCCATGAAATACAAAGTAATTTTGAGGGGAAGGCATCAGCAACTGGGAGAATCTGGTAAGGCCTGGTGCTTAACTCTGAAGTAAACTAGTGATTTTAGGAGGCTAAAATGTTAAAAGAGTGTATTCCAGGCATGGGAGACAGCCAGTACAAAAGCACAAGAACGTGTCATATGTGAGGCATAGCAAGGATGCCAATTTGAATGGATGGAAGAGTGAGAAGAGAAGTAATGGATAATAAGGTTGAAAAGGAAGGCTGGAACCAAATTGTGAAGGGCTAAAAATGTCAAAAAGAGGAGCATGTATTTGACCCTAGAATAATAAGAGTCATACATGTTTACTGAGTAGGAGAAAGGCATAGTCAGATTTGCACTTTATGGTTAGGGGAGGTACTTGAGAAAATGAAACTATTGAAAGAGTCTGAAGGGAGGTGATCAGGGCCAGAAGTAGCATTTTAGGTAGCATTTTAGATGTGAAAGGTGCTACAGAGATAGAACCAAGACTTGGCAACAGACTGCATATTCAGGAAGAAGAAGAGTAAGAAATTAAGGTTGACTCTGAGGTTGCAAATACGGGTAATTAGAAGAACAGCGATGTCATTAACAGAAATAGGAATATTCAAGAAGTGGTGTGGGTTTGGAGGAAAATATAATGAGTTTAATTTTTGGACATTTTGAATTGAGATGTCTATGGGATAACCAGTTTACAATAGGCAAATAGTGAAGCAAGAAACAAAATGCAGGATAGAGACTAGGGCTGGATATATAGATCTAGGAATCAAGTCCCTAAGGTGATAATTAAATCCACAAGAACTGATGAAGAAACTAAAAGAAGGTATGCTGTTTTGTTCCTAACTTAAAGCATTCTTCTTTTGCCTACTGGATACTATTATTTGTTTCTTGCTATCTGAGAGTTAAAAATCAATTTAAACAGACATACAAGAAAATGTAAGATTAAAAGCTGAAATAGTGATATTAAACAGGAAACATAATCCTTAGACAAAACAACAATGCATCAACAAAAACTGGCACAAAAAGAAGATAACGCCAAGGCTAATACAAATAAGCAATTAGTTTTATTTGGCAACTATCTGCCCCTGAGGCTTTTTCACTTAATTACTTTCCTAGCTGTGTTTCTCTGATATAGAATGTAACATTCATTAAGCATAAGTAAAAGATAATTAAGCAGGACATATCTTAAAGAAGTTGTCAAAAGCAAAGCTGTTTTGTGATCTGGAAAAGTCCCCATTAGGCTACTGAATAACTTAGATGTTATTTAGATTAGCTTTAAATTGGTATAAAGTGTGTGCTTTAGGAGTTTAGTATATTTAAAATCCACATAATCCATTTTTCTTCAAAAACCTAATAAAAATATAGCATACTAACTTTAAAATCATGTTATTTATATAATTTCAATTCAGACACTATAATTTAACTATATTTAATTCTTACTGCTATGTAGTCAGCCTTATAGAGAAGTTCATAAAATACTAAATTTACACACTGCTACAACAAAGATGTCCTAACTACATAAATTTGATATATATCTGTGGAATCTGAATACCTTATATTCCAATTTGTTTCCATCAGAAGATAAGAGATACCATCAAATCCAATGAAATATGCCACTGAATTTATAAAATGGCTTTCAATATCTGGATAAGGAAGATATAAGCATAAAGCTACTAGAAAAGTTCTAGAGGCAGACAAAGGAAGCTAACTATGGAAATGTTTAGGATTTTAACATATGCTTAATAGTCCAAACAAGCACAATAACAGCAATGCCAAATTAAACTGTGCATATGTATACATGCAGTCAACATATGGGACATGCTACACATTTACCTGAATTATATGAATAAAAGCCTTTATCTGGAAAACAAATATTAAAATGAAGTGATGTCAGGAAAAATACATGAAATTTCTACATGCAACAGGGATGTTGAGAAACTAGTCTCTGTTTAGTAATTGAGAATGTGGTTTACTATATTCATTTTTAAATACAGCAAAACCTCACTAATAAAATAAATAACTATGCTAAGATTGCCACTTATATTAATGAAGATTCAAATGATTCAAATGAAATTCAAATGAAGGATATATTTAAGGAAATTGCATTATTTTCAAATAATTAAATTAAAGTAAATTAAATATTTTGAATTAATAATACGGTTATACCATTATTAACACGTATTAATATATTATATTATATATCTGACATGAATAGAGAAATGGAAGTAATCCTTAATTCCTTGAATGCTTTGAGAAGGTAACTGACTTTAGACTTTGCTCTTTTTTGTGTAACTTTAAGCCTTGACATTTTCCAATAAAACGTATTATTTACCTATGTTCATTCAATAAAAATCACATACTTCATGTAAATTTTACTATGAATTATAAATCAATGGGGTACAATTTAATGAGGGTTAACTATATATAAATAGCAGTTAATTGCTTTAAATAAAGTAAAATATTAGTTAACTAACTGAATACCATTGATATTTATAGACTGTCTAGCTGTAAATTAGGTACTTAGAGTAGTGAATTACCTTTCATGCCACAAGGATATTATGCAGTAGACAGAATTAAACACAATTCCAGAAGTATCCAGCCTAGTCAACAATTTTCGTAAGACAGTATAATCACAAACACAAATGATAAAGGAGTTCACATAGTAATTTTTCTTTTAAGAATTAATTACTCATTTAATTAAATTTTAAATTAACAAATTTAAATTTTGAAAGATTTTGTAAATTTTATTTGTAAGTATGAGTGACATTATTTTGATTTTTATTTAGATGATTCAGAAATAACTTTTTTAGCATTTTCTCATATATACAAATCAAAACATATCAATTGATTAGGGTTAGAGCTGCAAGTAGTAACAAAAAGAAGTTGTTTCTAGTTTCTCTAACAAATGTAATTATCAGGAAATCATATTTCTAAGGAAAATGCTATACATCAGGGCAATTAGCATAGATAAATAATTTCTAAATTATCATCATTAAAAATAGCTTATAACTGCATCAAATAAAACAAAATGCCATTACATTTGGTCAATTCTGGTTTTCAATACAAGTATCTGATCAACTTTGAGAGTCAGTATCAAGTATTAACCTAACTTGATTTGGCCCCAAATTGAGGACAGGGATGAGACTGGACCTAGGATTTCATTTAATATATGGCATACCCAGGTGAGGAAATTCTCTTTACCAATACAGGTCAGCCCCTTCTCTGAAACTCAACTTGTTAGAGAATTGCATGGGATAGATATCAAGAGGCTAAGTGATTTGCTCAGGGTCACAATGCAGTTATGTATCAGAAGTGATTCCAAATCATGATTTTAAATGATTGTTTCAGTAAAGATTTTACAAATTTATAATTTTTTACACAAAAGAACTTGTACATGGATATCTTACATGAGTAAAAACATAATGCTTAATTACAAACACAGGCAAATCTTTTTAAACACTATGGCATTTTATATATCAAAATAATGAATATTTAATGTTTTATTAATATTACTTCTCAGTATTTAAATAGAATAAAATGATCTTTAGACATCCCTGCATCATGTTAAATGCCTTTTTGTTAAAGGATTTAATAACTGATCCATGTATAATAAAATATATTATTTATATTTGTATCCTGATAAGCAACATAAAAAAGCACACCAATGTAACATGCCCAAAATTCAGATCAAAGTATGGTATAAAATGAAAATAACTTACCTGCTGATTGTATTTCTTCAAAAATAAATCTTAATAATAAACCACCACTCATAATATTGTTCTCATGTATAACAGGGTATCTATATACACAGACCATATAATGCTACCTACTAATAAAACTACAATGTTTATAAAATCTTTTTCAAAGAACACTTTAGAGACATTTACATATGTTCAAAATGTAGCATGAAAAAAATGTTCTTTTGTACTTATTTCACATCTTGAAAAAACTGGATTAAATGGGCTGAGATTATTTGTACACGGCCATTATCATGATTTCTACTCAAAGGTGCAACTTGAAAAAATTGGCCAAATATAAACTCTGTGACATAGGCCCACAAATAGCTTTTGGAAGCTACCTTTGTTATTAAATAAATTCCACTTATGTATAGTCCCAAAGGTTCTACATTATCTGTTTTTGAGATAGCATTGTGATCACTCTATTAAAATTATTTCTACTGAATAATTTAGTCCATAAGGAAACAATTTGAAATAAATTGTTTATTTATTCGCCAATATTTGTAGAGCATCTACCTTGTGCTAGCTCAAAGCCAGAATAATTAGGATGAGGTAACTGGACTTTTGCAATTGGGCAATTAAATTTAGAAGGTGTTGCTAATGCCTGTAGTCCTTCAGTGGGTAGAAATAATTGAGCTGAGTGACCATTTAAATAGGAATAATTAGACAAAATAGGAAGATATGAGATGATGTGCTTCCATCATTTCCTTCTTCATATTCTACTAGCTTTACCCTAGTCAAGTTTCTAAGCATCCTCCTTAACATCAGCCTTGCATGTCCCTAAGTGGATAACCCTGAGAATTACTAGTGTCCCATGGTCCACATTAAAATACAAGTTTCCCATGATCTCTCTCTCCCCCCTCCTGTTTCCTTTTCCCCCCATCTAGTGGCAAAGGACCTTTTATCACTTGTATCACAAAGTTCAAGCTCTCTCTCTCAAAGACCTACCCTGCCTAGGTGAATTTGAGCATAAAGTTTATTTGTGAAGGTATCTTCAATGGTATTTGCTCCAGATTCATTTTGTAGTGCTTATGCTAAGAAACATAATTGCTACTTATGACTCAAAGTAAGTACTATAATTATTCCATTATTTTAGAGTCTACTCTAATTACATACTCTGGTTTAATAGTATAGAAGAAAAAATTGAGAGTTTCTTTTAAAAGATCACTATCAAATGATCAAGATTTAGAACTGGAAGGGACATCTCCATTGGATTAGTCCAATCCCCCCATTTTATAGCTAGGTTGCACAATGGTTGGATCATTGGAGTGGGAGTCTGGAAGTCTGGGAGTCTGGAAGACCTGAGTTCCAACCTACCTTCAAAGATTTATTACCTGTGTGGGCAAGCCATTTAATCTATCTGCCTTAGTTTCCTCATCTGGAAAATGGGATAATAAAACCACCTACCTCCCTGGATTGTTATAAAGATAAAATGAGATAATATTTATAGGGCACTTTGTAAATCTTAAAGCACTACATAAATGCTCACAATTGTTTACAGATGAGGAACTCAAGGACACACAGTTTCAGAGCCATAGTTCAAACCCTGGTGATCTCACGTCAAATCCAGCACTTTTTCCATTCTCTATAATTATGGCCACCAATGTGAGTTTGTGCTCTCAGTAATTTAATTTGACACTGTGATTGTATAAAAATAGAAAATGAGGAAGTAGCAAGTTAGAAATAAATTAATCTTTAAATGGTAGTTCCATATAATTTCCAAACATTGTAAATTTGTAATTTTGTGGGTTCAGATTTTTATATTTTAGACTTTATTAAATTGGATATGTTCATGCTATGGTCCAAGTGATAATATCCTCCAAAAATAATAATCTTGATTAAGGGTTTTATAAACAAGTTGTTTTTAATAACTGTACTACTGCACAAAAAAATTATTTTTATTGGGTTAACTGTTAATTTAAAACAATGAAGTTAAGGCATTTTCAATTAAAATAAATTATTTTGCTAACTTCTTTTAAATTCAATAGTAATGTCTGTTGTTTTAAAATTAGCTTCAATTGGGTTTTATTTATTTGTTTTAATATCCCTTCCAATTTTCTATATATTTGGTCTCAAATTATCTAACAAATTTATAGGCTGGAAAGTCATACTGTGATTCATAAGATATTCTCACTTGATTCATTTGTGCACTCCATCACTGGCCATCCTTTCCAGTACTGGTCACACTATCTCTCATATTCCAATATTCAGTGGTCCTGGTTGGGGAAGTTGGAACTCTACTTGTTCTACTTCCAGACTCTCCCTCTACCACCAGTTCCCAGAACATAATAATCACTTAATAAATGCTTCTTACCTTCCTACCTACCTATCATCACTCAGCAACTTCTCCTTTGAGGTCCATTCTATCCAAATTGATCAACCAATTTAGATCCTCAAAATTAATTCTATAAAACTTTAGGGATTCATCTTCTTTTCTCAGAATCCATTTTAAGTCACCGTGTCCCTCCCTCTCCACTCCTTCCCTCATACTATAAAACTTGAAGTTACATATACTGATGTTGACTAAAATATACTCACTTCCCAGTTAGTTATTCAATTTACTCAACTCCCACTATCTTCTACTTTCCAATCCTTTGATTCCTTGTCCTTTGGCCATCCATACTTCACCATCTCTCAACTCTGACTACCTTCACCCTCTGTTTTCACTTCTACTTCTGTGCTACTAGACAGACTTGGAGGAAGTCATATAACTGTGTTCACTGAGTCCCCTACAAATTTATGTTATCTAATCTTGAATTGTACTCTAACTTCAGCAAATCAATTCTTCTACCACTCCCTACTTGGTCTTCTGTCTCACTCACCACAATGGCAGTTCTAAACATCTTTTTTACTTAAGCTCCCAATACCAGCCACTATCCCACCCTTTCAGCTCAAGACCTTAATTCATGCTTCACCAAAAAAAATCATCATTATCATTTACCATGAGCTTTCTCTTCTCCCTTTCTCCACATCTCTCATCTCCTTGATACTATCACCTACTTTTTTTTCTTTACTCTACTCTCCTCAATATAAAGCCAATCTCTCTATCCCCAATCTCTCTATCCCATCCTTTCTCATCTTCTCCAGAAGAACGCTTTCCATTATTATTCATTAATTAAGGGT